CTGGAACGACTGGAGTAGAGTCAAGTAACTCTTGAACTAGTCTGGTGCATTGTGGTGGGCCTGAAGTGGACGATGGACTAGAAGTGGATTTTGTAGCAGCAGAATTAGGTGGGTGAATCGGAGAGTCTGATGGTGACATATCTGCCTTGGCAACTGTAGAGGTAATTGAAAAGGGAGGAGATGCAACATTCATCATGGAATTGGACAGAGTACCGATGTGGAGCCTGTAAATGGGCCAGCAGCTACTCCACCTGTGGAAGAAGAGACACCATCAGTATTCTCACGAGAAATAGAGGATTGGGAGATACCGGGAAAATAGGTCTCATCGAAAAAACATGTCGGCTGGTGTACTACTCCTTGCCACTAGCAACATGAAAGCACATGTAACCCTTAATGAGCAGCATTGTATTCGAGAAAAATACATTGTTGAGACCGAAATTCAAATTTATGATGATTGTATGGCCGCAGTAATGGATAACATGCACACCCAAAAGTCATGATAAAGTTGTAGCCTGGAGGTCGGTGGAATAACAATTCATATGGAGATCGACATTGGAGGACAGACGGGGGCAGTCTGTTGATCAAGTATATGGTAGTTTATGCGGCATCAGTCCGTAAGGAAAATGGGAGAGAGGACGAGGCCAGTAGAGATAGCGTAGATTCAATAATATGCATGTGTTTCCATTCAATTATCCCATTTTGTTCATGAGTGTGTGGGCATGCCAATCGATGTGAAATACCTTCAGAATCTAGGAACCAAGAGAGAGTGTGAAACTCCTCCCCCTAGACTAAAAGCTTTTGATTTTAGTAGCAAACAATCGCTCCACATATTGTTTAAAATGCAAAAAAGCATTAATGACTTCATATTTCTTAACAAGAGGATACAACCAAGTAAATTTGGAATAATCATCCATGAAAATGACATAATACCGAAAGTCTTTTTTAGATAAAGGTGGGGTTGGTTCCCACCATCTGAATAAATAAGATCTAATGGTTGCATTGAACAAAATGAAGAAACTGGAAGATGTTGCCTATGACTTTTATCCTTGTGACATGGTTGACATATAGTCTTACTAATACGACCCACACATGGTAAACCAAACTTAGAAATAACGTGACTCACTACATTGAATGCAACATGACCTAGTCATTGATGCCATCATGAGAAAGTTGTGTGCTTTCCAACAAAGGAAGCCGCTTTATTGTTGACTTGAGTATCTCCCGAAAACTGGTAAATGCCATCTCTATTGGTTCCTTTGGGTAGGATTCTCCCCGTATAATCCTTCACAAGAAAGAAGTCCTGATGAAATTCAAAATAAATATCATTGTCCTTAGTGAATTTACTCAGAGAAATCAAATTCTTTGTGATTTGAGGCACATGATAAATATTATGTAAAGCAAAAGTATGATGATTAAGTTGCAAGGATGATGACCCCAAATGTAAAATCCTCAAACCTAATCCATTACCAACAGTAACTTGATTTTGTCCCGTGTAGTTTGATCAATTCTGCAAATATTCTATATCTAGAGTGAGGATGATATGTGGCACCTAAGTCCAGGTACCATGTGGGATCAAGTTCAGACCCCATACTCGTATGATATGTTGTTGGACCTGATGGACTCTGTTGTTCGCCTTGATATGCTAAATCATATAGTCTTCGATAGGTCAGTGCTGCAGACCTAACATATGATTAGTGAAAATTTTCTTCTACCTCATCCACCATTGTTACCTCTTCCACCGGGGAACTGATTTGGATATCCCCCTTGGTTGCGACCTCCACGACCCCTGCCATTGTAAGAAGAGTAGCCACCATGGTTCACAGTGTTTTTGGAGTTCCAATTATTCTTATTTTTCCCCTGTGTAGTCAAATTTGCTGAAGGGGGAAAATTATTATAGATGCGTTGGTTGTGCTGTTCCAACCAAGCTTAATGATTTAATAACAAGCCCATTACATCATTAATGGTAAGTCTATCAAAATCAAGCCTATTGGTAATCACAATAACTATGGATTCATACTCAGGTCCCAATCCAGAAATAATATAAAGAATAAGATCATCCTTGCCTACAGGTTCAAAGATTGTGGCCAAATCATCAATTATTACCTTGGCTTTCTTGACATATTCAGTTATGGATTGAGACCCCTTCTCGGTGCTCTATAGTTGTCATTTTAGATGTGGCACTCTCAACCTAGATATAGTGGAATAAGTTGTAGAGGGTGCTTTCCATACCTCGACTGAAGTGGTCAGTCCAATTATTTCTATCACCACACTTTTAGTGAGTGATAAAATAATCCATAGGTCCATCTGAGTAGAGAGTGTGACATTGCACTTTGCAGCTAGGGGAGAGGTTCTTACCTGTCGGGCAGTGTTTGATCATTATGAGTCGAGAGGTTAAGTGTAAGAAACCATTAATGGTTAATTACCTAATGGGTTTTATCTTATTTAAGTCCATTATCCTTGGGTCTTCATAGGATGCTGAATTCAATGATCATTTAAGTGTAAATGTTGGGCCCATATTGAACCCATAGTGATGTGCTCAGGGGTTTACTGCGTTTATTAGTGAATTTGGCCAAGCCTTTTCACAAAGGTTGGACTGAACCCATGTTGACTTATGTGAGATCATTGTGGGGTCTCACGCCATATAAATCAGGCCTAAGTTGGTCATGCAATACCCTTGGGTCATAAGCCTTATAGTTGATGAGCCTAAGGCTCATAATTAATATGATTAAGTTGTTGTCATGTGACATGGGGCGAATCTGGGTATGGAGCACCTAATCTTACAAGAAGATAAGGTATATCTCTAATTAGAGTTTGAATCTAATTTAGACTTAGATTATCTCTTAATTAGATTAGGAGATAGCTCCATAAGAGATTATAAAAGAGGAGGGGGCGGACTAGTCCAAGACAACTTCATATTTTTATAGTTTTCGATTCTCTCTACACCCTTTTGTCTTCTAGTTTTTTCCTAGTTCGACATCAGCTATCAAGGGCTGATATAGATTAGTTTTCTTTTGATTTTTTCAAAAAAAAAATCAAAGGAATTTAAAGCTTACCTTCCTTAATTTGATCCAAGCAGTTTGGTTGTAGTTTTGTTAAAAACTGTGTTGCTGAATCAGCTTCACCTATACACTACGCTATCTTTAGTAGAAGCTGGTTTTAGGACTGATTTGGGTGTGAACTTCCACCTTGGGATCTGCGTTTATGGTACCTGTATCAGGTATACATCTCCTTCTCTGTTTAGTTTCAAATCTGGTCTGGTTTAGTGCAAAGACTAATCCGAAAAAATACAGTTTTTCAAAACATAGGGAATTCAATTCCTAGAAGGATTAGGAAATTTTTGCAATTTCGCCCAACCATCTAATATGGTTCAGCCATCCATATGATGGATCCTAACCCTTCCAACAAAAGGTTCGAAAGGGAATCTTGGTTTGATGAAAGGGTAAACAAAGGAATCTTAGGTTGAAATTTCAAGTTTAGGTATTTTAGGAGGTCTCGGGTCTAATGGGCGATGTTCATGGGTTTTTAGGCGTTTCAAAGGGATTAGAATGGTTTGATTGGGTGTTCGAGGTAAATTAAGGGTTTGGACAACAAACCGAACAAAAATCGGGTGTTGATAGTAGGGTTTCTAAAGATATTGGTCTCTTGGATCATTTGGTGGGGTTTGATTGGTCTATAAATGGTATGATCAAGGGCATACAAGAAATGGATATCTTGGCCATGAGATAGCCTAGATTGAAATCTTAGTTTGATGAAGGGTTAAATGAGGGATATTTGTGATGAAAATTTGTGGTAAGGTGTTTATAGGTATAATGGGTTCTTTAAAAGCCCATTAACTCTAATTTGCAATTTAGTTAAAAAATCCCATGCACCACACAATACCGACTAGTATATATATGGAAAATTCTACACGTTTATATTCCAGTTGATTGGTCAAAGATTTTACAATATATATATATATATATATATATATTTATATATAAAAAATTGAAAAATAAAAAACTGAACCGAAACTGATAATCTGAACCCAAAAAATCCAGTTAATCTATTAAAAGTCACAGTTAACAAAATTATATGTTATAAATATTAAAAACCGAAAAATCAAAGCATTTTTCGGTATTTTTCAAAGATCAAGGACCGGTTCAGTTTCAAATGTGAGCCCAATGTTTGGTTATGGATGGAATCGTGAACACTCCTACAGTCCCTTTCATATTATATATTTTTTTATTTTTTTCTATTCTCTATTTTTTTAAATCCTTAAGATAAATTCCTTTAGTATAAATAAAAATTAAAAAGTTTAATATTTATTTGATTATCTCAACTCAGAACTAATTAAAAACCTCCTCTTGGGGAGTAAATTCCTAAGTACAAGTTATTGGCGAACATCTCCCAAATGAGAAATGTTGTTGAGAAGTGAAAAGCTTTCTATTATTTTAAACCTCTTAATTTCCCAACCAGTCACTTGCAGATTCGAAATTGAGCATCCCGAGACCAAAAAACTCTTAAACTGATCCTTTTGAAACCTATTTTAACCTTTTTTTTCAAATTATCTCTGTGACTCTGTCTACTTGCAATTGCAGATTTGAAATTGTACCATCCGAAGACTTCTGTTGACCTGCCGGTGCAAATGAAATCGCCATTGTCGTGGACTTCGGACTTCCCCAATTTAAAATTCAAAATCGGACAACGCCCTCATTTTCCTAAACGTTGCCCAACCCAACATCAACAAAACACGAGAGGACTTCAACCCAGGCACTCAGAACAGAGACCCTGAAAAGGCTGAGACCGTGGCCAATACAATATTTAATGGCTTTCACAGTTCACACTTGGCAGTATTTTCCGGGCCCTGTTCCTGACCCCATCTCTCTGCACTGCTTCCAGATCACCAACTTGTCTTTTGGCGCTTCTTTCATTTGATTTCGTCTTCACATCTCTCTCTCTCTCCCAAATTCAAACAACCCATCTCCGTACGCGTTCAATTTTACCCTATTTATTATCTATCAGATTCTTTCTTTTAGAATGACGAGAAGAGAGAGAGAGGGGGGTGGAGAGAGACATCAGACCTCGCGTCCACGGCTCCCTTTTGGGTATTCCCAAGAGGTCGCTGTCATTTACGCTCCCTTTCTCACCTCCCTCACCGGCTTTAATTCGAATTTTCTCTCCTGATCGGAGCCTTGCTTGGGAAGTGACTATTTAAACTATTGTTTACCGACGAATTCCCTCTTACGGCTATTGTGGTTCTTGGCTCATGGGCTTCTGAGTTCTGATCAAGGCGGTTCATCAAGGTAATGTGCAAAAGAATCTGATCTTTTCCCTTATTCTGTTGGGGTTTGATTCTTTTTTTGATCGGTCGATGGGATTTGATTCTTTGGACGGTTGTTTTGTTTCTCTGAACTACTTTTTTTTTCGGGCTAAAGATCTAATTTTTTTATTGTTTTTTCAAATGATCCTTTTGGGATCTGTTGGTTTTTTCTCCTTGGTTTGAATGCATATGTGGATATGTTGTATTCTCTGAGTTCGTATCAAATGTGAATGGCTCTGTTCATGATTTTGCTGATAATTGGGTTGCTTTGATGTTTGCCATCAAGGGCTTTTGCCAATAGACAGGGGGTTTGGACCCTCTTTAGACTACTTGGTTTGATGTGCTCAAGGAATTGTTTTGATGATTCGTATCTATTTCCATGGATATTTATCATGCTCTGACATTGCCGGGAAGAAAGAAAACTGAAAAGGAAAGAAAGAAAGGAAACCTCTGGATCGCGATCTAGCAAAGAAAAATAGATGTTGTGTTACCTTTTCCTATCGATGTTAATAACAAGCTCTGGCATTTCCAAGTAAAATGTAAAATAAGACAACTAATGCTCTGAATCAAGATCTAGTAAGAGGTATAGATGTTGCGTTCTGTAACGAGGAACAATGGATGGGAGATAACCATGATTTGTCTAATTAGCTTTCATTTCTATACAGGATCTTGTAATGTCAATGCTGTGGCTTTGGGTTTTACTGGTCACAAGCGTCAATGCAATTCTGAAAGGAAATGCACTGTGGCTATAGTCTCTTAAGCCAACTGCTTTATAAGCAATATTTCACCTGCCATACCAGATCCTAGTACCTTTGCATTGCTTAATGAATATTACTAAAATGTGTGAATAACCTTCAAAGCAAATATGCTTTTTCACATGAAAACTGTTTAGGTGAGCACATGATTCAGTTGCACCTAGTGAAGAAAAAAAAAACCGGCCTTCCTGTTAAGATGTAACCAATGATACATGTTGCTTACAATCAATGTAAAAGGCATCCCATTACTCGTTATGACAATTGATATTGGAGCTTTGATGATTTACAACACTTGTTGAAAACTGGGTATAAATATCTCAGAACTAAGGTGAGGTCTTTTTTTTCGTTTTGTTATGGGAAGTGCATGATGTGTTTGCCGTGTATGTGTAAGGGTGGGTATATAGAAAAAAAGGATGTCAGGCTTGGATCCTTTTTTATGCTGGGCTCCTTGCTTGTTTTCTCATTTCCTTTTTCACCCCATTTGTTGGTTTGTGGCTTTTTCAGATAGTTTTAGCAATTAATGTGGGTTCCAGTAGACATGGACTGGAATCAATTGTCAGTTAATTGAAGATTTAAGTTATTTATTATACAAGGAGGTCATAGGCATCTAAAATAATCATTGTCGAAGCTTGGAAGGTAGGGGTGCAACTTGGGCAAGCCCAGCCCGATCCTAGACTGACCTGATCCAGTCCGTAATTTTACTTTTGGCAGCCTGGAAGGGCTTGGATTTTTGGTCTTCAAGCTGGGCCCGGGCCACCCAAAATTTTGGGCTTTTTTATTTTTCAGGTTGGGCCCAGGCCTAGTCCTTAGGTAGCCTGAGCCTGGCGCCTTGGCCTGACTTTACCCCAATCCAATTATACACACACACATACATACATATATACATATATAGATACATGTTTGCATACATACATACATGCATAATTATTGAAAGGTAGATGCTTGAACAGATATGGGGAGATTTTAAGCACTAATAGAAAGCTATACTAGTATAATATAAAGCAAATTCAGCTGATTAGCTTTATGCAATCCCTTGTTTTGTTTTAGTTTCTAATTGGAATTTTACCCACTCATCTCTATGCATTCTCTAATCTCTACCATGCATATAATTATTCTTACAAAAGGTTTATGTTTGCATTTGTCATGATTCAATAGAAGAAAAGAACATAAACTGACTTGGTTTGTTCATATTGTTAAGGAGTAGCCAGCTAGCCTTATTGTTTGGCAATGTCATCTGGGAATACCTTTATTGATGATATGAGGACCAAGTCTGAGGTTGTTGATCTTCCCCAAAATGAAGCTATGCTGGATGTCGGTGAACATGTGAATGATGCTCCACAACATACTCTAAAACCTAATGGGACAGTTGCTAGCGGCATTCGTGAACTATTGGAGTGTCCAGTATGCTTGAATGCTATGTATCCTCCAATCCATCAGGTGTGGTTTTATCTTGTTCTTAATAGCTAATAGAACTTTATGCAATGTTGTGACCTCACCAAAATTAGAAAATAAGAAAAGAACTTCAATGTGAGTTTTCATATTTAGTACATGCTTTCCTACGCCTAATCCTAAAATTTGTAATTAGCATGGCTTCCTGAACAGTTTGAATCCTGTCTAAGGTTTTATGCTTTTTTAGATTTTATAGGTAATGAGATTCGTTAACCGTTGGAAAAGGGAGAAGATACATAAAGGATAGAAGAAAGAACACGAAAGAGGGGATGGGTTAGGAGCAAATGTAAAATGATTGTACCCTGTGCTATAAAGTACCCAAATGGTGAATAAAGATCCAATACCATCAGGACTGAGCTACTCAAAGGACTCCTATCCAGCCTGAACTCTTCCCACCTTGCAAGAACCCTAAAGCCTCAGAAATAAACCTGTCAAAAATTTATTCCTGCATTTGTTCCTTGTTGAATTTGATGATGCTGTATCTTCTATTTGTTACTTTAGGTCATTTTTGTTGCATTTCTCTATGACATATTTAGTTCGTTTGTGCATCTAATAATGTTTTCAGGAATGCCTACTAGTACACGATTATTTGTGGGGCTTCCCTAGTAGGGGTTCAACTTAGGTGGGCTTGGGTTGGGCTTTTCTCAAATTTTGAATGGGCCTGACCCAAAAGCCCAAGCCTGAAGCAGTGTAAATTGCTAACTCGGGCCAACCTGGGTTGCATTCATATTCTCTGGAAGTGTGTGACTGACTGAACTTTAGATGATAGATAGAACTTATCATAAGTTTCCATTTCTTACAATGTTTACTCTAAAATTTATGTCTTGCCATTTTCCTTTCACATCAATGGCAATTTAGAGAGAGGGAGGGAGGGAGGAGATAATGGCATTGTTATGACCAATCCAGAGGATCCTCTATAAGGTGGATTATCTGGATTGGTTACATCATCATTTTAAAAGCAACACTGCTGATAGTCAAAAAATCCTGATAATTGTGATTATGAATTCTTGAACTTAGTCTTTGTTAAAAAAGAAATCTCTCTCTTGTTGTTTTGTAGTGCATATATTTCTAATCTCTTTATACTTATAATACATTTTCTAGGGTTATTGACCATGTCTTTTTCAAACAATACTTGGCTAATCATTCATGAAGTTTTGGTTTGCTGTTGTGGCAACTTATTTCATTCTTTTTCCTCAATATTGCCTTCAGTTCTGGGTGTTTTTGTTCTTGCCATATTCCTGCCTGTGTTCTGAAATGGCTCTTCAAGAGCTTTGAATCCCACTGTATCATCTTTCATTGTCTAGCCACCATATGGTTAAGGATTCATGGTCACTTTACAGAAGTTTTTCTACTAAAAAATCTACTTGTGTCTAGTATCATTACCAGATGGCTTTCGGTTGGTTCTTAGTAATTATTAGAGGCTATTGTGATGCTTATTATAGTCTTTCTTGTGTATCATTTCTTTTTCATCATTAAGTTTGTCTTGACTGTTAAAAATGCATGAAGCCTTTTAGTCCAATCATTCATTATTGATAATATTCATAAACAAAAGTGATATATTGCATTTGGCGGTTTAGGCTTCACTTAAAACATCCTTTAGCTTAGAATTTAGATTAAACCTATTTGATGTATCCTTTATTCATCATTTGATCTTGTTATTTGCAGTGTTCAAATGGCCACACATTATGTTCTGGTTGCAAGCCTAGGGTGCACAACCGGTGCCCCACTTGCAGGCATGAACTTGGCAACATAAGATGTCTTGCATTGGAGAAGGTGGCAGCTTCACTTGAACTTCCATGCAAATATCATGATTTTGGGTGTGTGGGCATATACCCATATTACAGCAAGCTAAAACACGAATCTCAGTGTGCATTCCGACCCTATAACTGTCCCTATGCTGGTTCAGAGTGCACTGTTATTGGTGATATCCCTTCTCTGGTGGCCCATCTGAAAGATGATCACAAAGTAGACATGCACAATGGAAGTACTTTCAACCATCGCTATGTTAAATCAAATCCACATGAGGTTGAGAATGCCACATGGATGTTAACGGTAATGCCTACTGTTGTTGTTAGTCATATCATTTAAGTTTTTCTTTTTTTTTTTAGTAAATGGTTTTGCACTCTTACTTTGTTAAATGGAGAATGGTCTTCTGGTTCTGGGTAGTTATCCAGCATTTTGTTGAAAAATGCCCATTTTCTAGTCATATATGGGTTAAAATCATTCATATGCTTTGGAACTGAGAAAACTTTCTCATGGAGGGGGTGATATTTGGCTCTACATGTAAATGACCTAGAGCCATGTTAAATCGATAGTATTGTTATTGACTGTTTGTAGGCATGTTTTGGTATGTGTAGGTTTTCAGTTGCTTTGGACAGTACTTCTGTCTGCATTTTGAGGCCTTCCAGTTGGGGATGGCACCTGTGTATATAGCATTTTTGCGGTTTATGGGCGATGATAATGAAGCCAAAAACTACAACTACAGTCTAGAGGTGGGAGGAAATGGTAGGAAAATGATTTGGCAAGGAGTCCCCAGAAGTGTAAGGGACAGTCATAGGAAGGTGCGTGACAGTTTTGATGGTCTCATCATCCAACGTAATATGGCTCTTTTCTTCTCAGGTGGAGACAGGAAAGAATTGAAACTAAGGGTAACTGGGAGGATCTGGAAGGAACAGTGAGGATCTCTCTTTTAACTCTTTTTCCCTTTCCAATCTCGATTTTGTCTTCCAAGTAGTCCTTTGATAGTTCTGTGTCTTCTGTTCATGTATTTCTTGGATAGTAGAAGGCAAGCTCTCTTTGCTTCACCTTGCATCAAATACATGAGAGGAAAGACCATCATCTATGTATTGGAAATCATGTATAAATTTATTTCAGAGGTATTATGTGCACCCTGCATATATGCATGTCATTTCTCTACATCATCTTTTTTTTGGTTTTTGAAGAATATGCGTCAGCTAAGCCTAGTCCTAACTACCCCGTGCATTGAGAACATCTCCCATGCATAACACCATCTAAGGGCGTGAAATGTTCTCCATGTATGGTTGCGGTCTCATGTGGGTAGATGTGGACAGAGTTTGACGTGGGTAGGAGATCCAGACTCTGCTTTCAGGTATCAAGGTGGAGTTCACATTTCCACCCAACAAATGCCCCCAAAGCACATCCCGCGGTGTATTGTGAACATCTCCCGGTGATGACATCATCGGAATTAATACTATCATCGGGAGATGTTCACAATACACCGCCGGATGTGCTGTGGGGCGGAGATGAAGGTGCCCTTTGTCAGGGTCATGCCATGATTACCCAGATCGGTGGTCATCTGATATGGGTTTGCACATTGCACTGCAGTTCATAATAAATTATTGAAAGAACTGGGTTGGTTAGGAGCAAGCTTCAAAATATTGATATGTCCGATATGCCAGTAGAGGCGTATCAGGCCTAATGTTTTTTTTTTTTAATCTGGTTCAGAGAGGTCGGTTTAAGGTCTGGTCCATTTGCCCCCTGAACTGGTCAAAACCCTGATACACCCTCTGTAGGGGTATATCATGAAGCTCCTGATATGATATGTATTGATATTTTGAACCTTGGTTAGGATATATCGGATTTGGTCCTCATAAGACTGTTCTCACACAGTCCTTTGCAACTGTGCATAGGGAATATCTCCCCATGAAAGTAAACACAACTATAGAGATGTTCTCAATGCATGGATGTAAAAGGATGTGGGGACAATCTGAGAATGTTCTGTGAGGATTGAATACGAACTCTGTTTTTACTTGGATCTGCTACCCACAAAATGTTCCCACATTTCTACCAACAAAACACCATGGCTGTGTGTTGGAACATCTCCTTAACAAAAAGGGAGATATTCCTAATGTGCAACTATAATGTACCATGGGTACAAATGTAGTCTCAGTTTGGAAAGAGTACAAATACAAATATGTACAGTATAAATACATACAAAATATAATGTTTTGCACTCTACATATTTGCATTTGTATTCCTTCTAGACTAAGTCATAGGAAGTAGGAATAATTTGTGAGTAGCAGATCCGAGCTTGTCTGTTTTACCCACGTGAGAATTTTCTGTCAAATAGGAATCAACCTAAGAGGGCATTTTTTTGAATGATAAAATAACTATATTAGCAAGGAAGAATATTTACAAACTCTTCAACCCTAGGGATCCTAATAGGATAATCATTTAAGACAAAAAACGATTGGGAGTGAGTTTTCGCCATCTAGGATACCTTATGGGTAGGATAGTTAAAGCTTCTATTTACATAACAAAATCTAACATTCTTCTTTAACGCCTTCACTATTTATTGAGCATCTGAACATATACATTTTTCTTCGTGATTCCAATTTTGAAGCTCCATTAAAGCCTACATAACCGCAGACAATTCATCTCGATCAATAGAGGTAGCTTGGTTAGTTCGGTCTCTAATAATCTTTAGGTAGGATAAATTTGTAGATAAGATAATAATACCAAAACTAAATAAGGAGTCAGAAATTTTCCTGCATCAGTAAAGATAATTAAATCAGTAGCATTAGATATAAAGAACTGCATTCTATGATTCTAGGAGAAAATATTAGATACTGTAGTTTCATTCAAGAAATCCATGGTTTGTTGAACTGTTTGGTTAACAATATTGATGATTGTTTGTGAAAAAAATTGTCTATTCCTAAAACATTTCTCATTTTGAGCATACCAAATATAATAGCAGGCAATAGCTATCCACCCTAATATTCTTAGAAAGAGTTGATTACCAAAGAGGGAAAATCTATGATGCAGAAAATATATGGTATGGAAAAAGTTTTGACCAATCAAAACCCAACCTATGAATTTTTGATAAATAACACCTTATTCGCTACCTCGTTTATGATTCCAATTTATTGGTCAATTGTTTTTCAGATATCATATCTTTTCCATATCATAGTCGAACCCTATCAGAAATTAGATTATATAAATTATTTATACACAAGATCCAGGACCCTTGAAATATGTTATGCAAGCATAAGTTCCAAGGATTTCCAAAGAGAATAGCTTGAGAAAATTGACAATTAATAAAGAGGTGAGTTGAAGATTCCACATCATCATTGCAGAGAATGCAAGGTTTGTCTGAAATTTCCACAAAGAGTAGATCCTTTACTGGAAGAAAAGCATTAACCACTCTCCAGAAAAATAATTGATAATGCGGAGGAATAGAAAGTTTCCAAATTTTAGATAGGTAGAACTTGAGATCAGAGGAAATATTTGGAAGAAAATTCAATTGTTTTTTCTTGTATTCCTCTTTCACTGTGTATTTTTCATATTTATGACTTGTCCAGACCCAAGAAATTTCATTGTTTGAAGGAAAGATAGGTGTTCTCAAAATCTTTAAAGCTTCCTTTGTTGAGAATAGAGAACAGATTAGGTTGATATTCCAATCGTCTAAGGTAAAATGATGTAAAATATTCATGTTCCTCAACTCTGGAGCTAAGGGAAAGGAAATCCAAAAGAATTCATTATTGGATTGGATCCAGGGAACCTGATGCACAAGGAAATAAGAATTTTCATTTATTAGATAACCACATTCTGAGGCCAGTTTAATGAGCTTTGGGCAAATCGCTTTCCAGTAGATATAACATGAGGAAACCATTGAATAAGGTATATGACTCTGATGTTTGAGGTATTTTGATTTCCAAATCTGAGCCCATAACTTATGTTGTTTATTTAGTGGGATCCATTCAGGGATATCGAATAGGAATGCACCTTCGATCCTGTATACAACTGCCATGTGAATACAGGATGCACGTTGGGATCTGTTGGTATGCACCTTCAACATGGGTTGGGTTGAGTTGGGTTGGGAATGCCAAATTTTCAATGGTCCCAAACCCTACGGTCCTAAGATCCCGAGCCCAATGTGATTGGAATTTTTTGTCCTAATTTTGGCTGCGATTAGCGCAAATATAAGTATGTTTATTATGTTCTGATGATGGCGGATTTGGCCCTCCAGTGAAATTGTGACACCTGGCACCTCATGCCAACCAAGTGCAGCCTCTTGACAACTGGACAGCTCGAGCTAGCTACAGAGCTTGCCACTTACAGACAGCTCGGCATAGCTCGCCACAGGCAGCTCACCACTTACAGGCAGCTCGCCACTTACAGGCAACTCAGCATAGCTCGGCATAGCTCGCCACAGGCAACTCGGCATAGCTTGCCATAGGTAGCTCGGCATAGCTCGCCACTTACAGGCAGCTCGGCATAGCTCGCCACAAGTAGCTGGCCACTTACAGGCAGTTCGCCACAGGCAGCCCGGATCTTACGAAGAGCTCGCCTCCTAGTAGGCCATGAAGACCTGCCTCGGGTAGAAGCACCTCGACACATTACCGGCAGCTCGGTGAAAAGTAGCTCGGTAAAAAGTAGCTCGGTGCAAGGTAGCTCGTTGCAGAGCAGCTCGGCGTATCGCAGGAAGATTTCCTACCTGACAACCGTACCTTCCAGATCTGGAGACTGCACCCACGTCTCTGGCTAGGCGACGTCGTGCCTACCAACTCTGACAACGCCTCATGTCTGACAGGGTCGTACCCTACAACAGTTACCTGCGCCCACCAGCTCAGCCCTGGCAAGTTACGGCTGCGGCAAAGAATCAGAGGCGGTTACGCCAGATCTGTCAGGAAACCGCTATATAAGAGCTCCGACCCCTCAGAGGGGGAAGATGATAAAAAATGGAGGTAACCCCTGCTCTCTAGCTCTCTCATTTCTCTAATATCATCTTCAAGCTCTCTACTATCAAAGTGTTAACTTAGCCATTGGAGTGGCCCCGCCGGGTAAACACCCTCGGGTCCTCTGATTTAGTTCTCGCAGGTCCCTCAATTCCCGCCGTCCACAAAGATGAGTAGATCATCTCTCATAGGGAGGATGGGACCTTCAGCTCCCATCGTCTGCAAAGAGGAGCAGATCATCTCATGCAGAGGGCAGTCGGGTTCCACTACACTAGGAGGCTCGCCACCATGGCAGTGCACCCAGCAACTCATCAAAGTAGCTCACCACTAAGGAGCTCGTCACCAAATAGCTCACCACCAGGGAGCTCGTCTCCAAGTAACTCACCACTAGGGAGCTCGTCACCAAGTAGATCACCACTAGGGAGCTCGTCACCARGTAGCWCACYACCARGGAGCTCGWCACCAAGTAGCTCACCACCAGGGAGCTCGTCACCAAGTAGATCACCACTAGGGAGCTCGTCACCAGGTAGCACACTACCAAGGAGCTCGACACCAAGTAGCTCACCACCAGGGAGCTCGTCTCCAAGTAGCTCACCACTAGGGAGCCGTCACCAAGTAGCTCACCACTAGGGAGCTCGTCACCAGGGAGCTCGTCACCAGGTAGCTCACCACCAGGGAGCTCGTCACCAAGTAGGTCACCACCAGGGAGTTCGCCACCAAGTAGCTCACCACCAAGCAATTCGCCACCAGGGAGCTCCATCATCTTCTGAGTCACAGGCCACTTGGAAGCAGGTCAAATGACGAAGTACTTAGCCAATAATTGGTACATCATAAAAAAAAATTTGGTGCGTGACCAGAAACGGTTACATCATATTCAATTTACAAAAATGCCAACGTGATTTTACATTGATGAATGTATTATTGTATTTGGTTATGATGGTTAGGGATGTCCTATAAATAAAATGCTCCTAACACTGTTCCAACAGTTTACAAACATTCATGGGAGATATTTCTGACGTATGGCTGTAATGGCTGGTTGGGGTGTTACTGGTACTGTGTTAGTAGCTTGTTTCCTTGTACCCCTAACAGATGCACCATCCATAGCTGGGTTCCACACAAAATATTCCAGATGCGTAGTGTAAGATGGATTCCTGAGAGAAAATATATATTTTCAGCATTTTTCGGTAAATTTACTCAAAATCTCT